TTTTGCATCTCCTCCTCTCTCCTTTTCCGGGTGAATAGCTCCCTCGGTATCCTGCTGTGATTGCGATCCCAAGATAGCTCGTGCTTATGGACAGCAATTGGTTTTGTAACTCTACACTAGTAAATTCAGGAGTGATGATCGAAGTAATGACTGAATTGAATATTCTCGCTACCGCGTAATGGTACGCCCCGAGCAAACCGTATACGGGTAAATCCTTAATGAATAATAAAGCAGACTCTCCAGGATCCTGAAACTAATGATGTTAATATCGTTTCCAACTTACGTGGTGGAAGAGATTGCTGCCTTTCGCTGCGGAACTTCGTCCGCATCCCCTCCAGCCTCGTCTGAGCAGGCTGCTTGTTATCTCTTTGATTTTTGAAGATCATGGTCTCTCGACAACCTTTTTTTTTGTGAACAGCTCCAGGCTTGGACTGGCCAGAGCCGCTAGGCCGCGATCGCGGCCGGGGCCCTCGTCCCCGGAGGCCCCCGAGGAAGAGGGCCCCAGAATTGTTTTTATCAATTTTAAGACTCTGTATTCTAAGGAATAATTAGTTTTTGACGACTGGGGCCCTCAAGTCGGGCGCCTCCACTGTTACGAGTTATTTAAGTGAAATTTTTTGACGTAAAATCAAACTTACGTGCTCTCAAAATTACGTTTTAGGTCGAATATTGTATCAATCCAAACCTCTAAAAGTTAACAATTTTACAAGCGTCCGCGAGGATAAAATTGCAATCTCTGGATATAAAAGATCCAAAAATTTTCCGGGGGGGCTACCTCTCCCCGCACGGAGGGTGGGGGAGTCCCCCCCCACACCCTCCGTGGGGGCCCTCACGATGCGTCGCCGCGACCCAACTTTTTTCACGCCAGTCCGAGCCTGAACAGCTCGAAAGGTTTCCCTTTTCTGTGGCTGTGGCTGTGGTGGCTCCTGTCTTCATGATCGCGATTGGCCCTTATGTTGTTGTTAAGTTGATGAAATTGGGGGCGGGACGGTGGCTGGGTGATTTTTTAATTTGGGGGCTCATATGATCGAAGGAAACGCGTAGTGAGGAGGGCGTCTCCGTCATCTGAAACATATTTTCAACATGATTTTAACGAAAATTGATTCTAAAATCTGCCGATGGTGAAAAAAAAAAGTCATACATTATTAACAATAAATAACAAAAATAACAATGAAATATAGTAATAATTGATTAATTCACTTAATAATCAAACAATACAGAAACAACAAAGCAATATTTAATAATGAAAAAACAAAACAATAGACGTGTCTAAGGAAGTTTTATATAGTTAGGCACATAAATGCAGTTTTTAACGAGGAATCTAGCCATCTAGTTTTATGCATGGATCTTCCCATACGTGTGAGTAACTATGTACACATGAAGTCGAAATTTGGTCAATAGTAAAGGAATGACTTCAGTCTCTCGTTTCAAAAATATTACATTTTCCATGCCCCGCGAAGCAGTAAAAACGATTTCATCACTGAAATGACTGACGGTCCTGAAGCTTGCCTGGATGGTAAAGAGGATGTTAGAGGATGCGTTCTCTGGTTTGTCTCATGAGATGTCTTTAGAAAAATCTAAGCAATGTTTCAGGACCCTTTTTTCTTCTGCAGCTGGAAACAGTTAAAAAACAAGTGACAGACCCATCAGACAATCAATTCTATGCCGGAAGTTCGCGGCTTTTTCTGTTTAGGAGCTTTGTTGGAAACGGCTCCAATTTATACTTACGTAGAAGTATCTCCATTTCACTCTGAAGTTGCAGGGGACTGCAAAAGTCATGCTCATCACACGGTTTTTCGTAAATTTTAACAACCTCCCAAAATGCCTCATTCCTCTTTGAATCTGTAGTTCGACCTGCCGAAGAATTCTGATGGCACCGTTTGAGCTGTATATTGCTTGATGAGGTGATCATTTTAACGCTTTGCTTTTTTGTCGCACTATCACGCAAGAAAATTGTAAATTCACTGTGTAATTTACAACTTACAAAAGTAGGTGCAATTTTTCCTGTTAAAAAGTTACTGTAACAGATTCGATGATACAACATGTGCCGCAAACAGGTCGCTCATGGACGACAATCGACCTACAACTTCCGTAGCGCATTCATCGTTTCTTTTGTTACCAACTGCTTTTAAATTTTTATTGTAATCGTGTTGTGATGTTGAAACTCTATGAACTTTCAGTTTTTCGGTAACTGAGATTTTTCTTGCGCTCATAACACAACATTTTTGAAAATCGAAAAAACTTTTGGATCGAGTTTTTTTCGGTGACTCACTCTGACCATCTCTTATACGCTGTCCGAGACGTGAAACATTTTTCTCGTCGACAATCGCTTTCGGCTCACTGTATGGACAAATAATTGACCAATCTTTACCTGTGCATCAATTTTCAGTCGAGAACAGACCTTGAGTATTTTCTTCCGACCTTTTTCTCGTAATTACTGTGTTTCTCCGGAAGCCATAACTTAATCACAAAACACACACCTATCAGTTACATCCTTTAGGAATGGACGGCAAGCACACGGATGCCGCAACCGCGCCGTACGGAGAAGAATCACCTGTAGTTAAGCCTAGTAAAGTATTTAAGCCACCCCCAATTAAGGTAATAGGTATTCAAACTATTGATGAGATCAAGGGTATAATATCTAGCACAGTGACCGAACCTGCCCTAATACAGGACTCTTGGTTCGTCAAAGTTATCAATTATGATATTTTTTCTATAATTTCTAATAACGATGACACTTACAGGGCCATAAGTTCCGCTCTTGAAGCCAAAGAGGTGAATTTTTATACCTACGGAAATAATAATACGAGGCCTGTACGGGTTGTTGCTCGAAGCCTTCATTTTTCAAACTCCTCTGAGGAAATCTTGGAGGATATTAAAAGCAAAAACTTTCCTATCTAAGAGTCGATCAAATAATAACCAAAGAGAGGAAAGAAATTAAAGAAGGTGATACCACCAAAATAATAATTAAAAGGGTTCCAATAGGAACATTCCCTTTAACGTTCGCCAATGGAACCAATATTGAAGATATTTTTATGATTGGTTCCATCTGTAATGTCAGGGTTAGAATTGAACCTCTCAATGTTGATGACCCTACGATAGTTACCCAATGCATCCGTTGCCAAGGTTTCCGGCTCACGAAAAAGGGATGTTATAAACACCCTGTATGTGCAAGATGTCAGGATCCCACTCATCAACAATTTGCTCAAATTGTCTGGGAAATTCATAGAAAAACCGGTTTGTGCTAACTGTAACTCGGAGCATCCGGCAAGCTACAGGGGCTGCCCAGTAGCCAAGCAGGAGTCAGCTGACAGGAAAGCTGAGCTAGCAAAGAAGGAAAAAAGGACCAGGTAAGTTTGACGGCGAGGGGTCAAAAGTCCGAAAAAGGTATTTCTTATTCTGAAAAAAATTCAGGTACAAAATCTAAAAATGACGTCACGGGTAATCAAATTCATAATCAATCAAGACAAGTTTAAACTTTGCGAGAGATCAATGGGCCTGTTGCAAACTTTTGCTAGAGCAAAACTAAGAGTTGTTTCTTATAGATAATTCCTCAAAAATCACGATGAGCGCATCGGCAAACTCTGAAATGCACTCATAACTTCACAAACTGCGTAAGAAATTGGCGGTTTTTTGAGCTTCCCGCTTCAAAAACGATACTACGGCACAGGTGAACATTTTGTAAGAGGAGTCGTTCCATCGTCGGCAATAATCATCATAGCCGACGCCAATCCGCCAAAACACGTTTGATGGGACGAGATAACACCTGAACTGGATTAGACCAGATAAAAATCGGTGTGTTAACGTTCATATTTTCCACGCCCGAATTGATTGACCTTGAACTCTCCTTGAATTACGCGCGGAACTGCGTGCAAGCGTCGGCCATGATGAATATCGCCGACGATGGAGCGACTCCTCTAACAAAATGTTCACCTATGCCGTAGTATCGTTTTTGAAGCGGGAAGCTTAAAAAAACGCAAATTTCTTACGCAGATTGTGAAGTTATGAGTGCATTTCAGACTTTGCCGATGCGCTCATCGTGATTTTTGAGGCATTATCTATAAGAAACAACTCTTATTTTTGCTCTAGCAAAAGTTTGCAACAGGCCCATTGATGTGATCATCAGCAAGCTTGACAAAATCAATGCTACCGCGGAACGATTAACGCGCCTCGAGAATGCAGTGTCGGCTCTGCAATACCCCTCCCTCGGCAGGAAAGGCCTTCTTCCACTCCTCAGGGAAATATCGGAGTTTCAAGATAGCGGTATAGATGTTGGTTAGTTGTTTAGTGGCTTAGGCTTTGCCCGGGAGTTTTTTCAAGATTTCGGATGTTATTCCGTCAATAACGGGGGCTTTTTTTTATTTTTAAGTTTATTGTTATTGTCATTATTAGACCTCGAGAGATCAATTGATATGATCATCAGCGAGCTTGATAAAATCAATGCAATCGCGGAGCGATTAACGCGCCTCGAGAATGCAGTGTCGACTCTGCAATACCCCTCCCTCGGCAGAAAAGGCCTTCTTCCGCACTCCTCAGGGAAGTATCGGAGTTTCAAGATGGCGTTATAGATGTTGATTAGTTGTTTAGTGGCTTTGCCCGGAAGTTCTTTCAAGATTTCGGATGCTATCCCTTCAATACCGGGGTTTTTTTTTTATTTTTAAATTTGTATTTGATTAATACTCGAATTCTGATTTCCTGATTGGATCCATTGGAATCGGAGCCTCGCACTCGACCGTAGCTATCTCCTTTTCGGGATCAATACGGTCTTCAGGGTCCAAGGGTTCGTCGGCCCATACGGCCAACTCTTGTTCTCTCTCCGCTCTAAGTGAGAGAAATAGAGAAGAAGTTGGAGGGAGATCGACTGAACTATGAATGGACTGATGTGTCCAGGTGTCGAGATACCGCTCGGTTAGTGCGTATCATATGACGAGCGGCTTACGTCAGGCGTAACTGGACACGGTGCTGATTATGAGTCGGGAGCCGCCACGGTTTTTGCCGCATCGTTTTCGCTCCTGTGCTATCCCGGTGTGACGTTGTGCGGACCACGCTCCGGATGAACCCGTCAACGATTCGTATCTCGCTTCAAGTAAGTTTCAGTCTTCAGGCTGATTAATGACATTGATAGACAGCACCGCCGCGTGGGCTTCTGATTCGTGGGTGCAGGGAATAAGCCCACTCACGNGGGGGGGGGGGGGGTATTAGGGTAGGGGGCCCCGGGGGTCCTCCCCCTAAAAATATAGGCTATCCAAAATGCAATTTTAAACTATTTTTACTAGTTAATGCCATTACACTATCGCGTGAAAACCCCAACATCATCGCTAGAAATTCGAGTAACACTACCACAAATACTTTACGTTTTGAACAAAGTTTGCAGCGAACTCATTTCACTGTCAGGCGTTGAAAGCGCAATAGTGTGTTTTTCTTAACGTTCGTTTGCCTTATTCCAGGCTGAATTCCCATGAACTATAAGCGCACCGTCGTATTGACCGACCGAGCCAAATCGTCGACATGGAAAGCAAATCGCCTTGTCTTACTCCACACTATACTCTAGGTAGGTTCAACTGTCGTCTCTCAGACAAAAACCAGGACGGCTAAACAAATTCAGAAAGAAAGGGGGAACAAATCTCTCAAAATCTTGTGGGTGCAACTGCGCCCACGTGCACCCATTTCCCCTGGTAAAAATAGGCAGTAGAATCTGTTTTCCAAAATACCATAGACCTACGGCCGGCTGTAAGATTTCCAATAGCTTCTATAGCCGGCTACACAATTTCTTATAGCCTTTTATAGCCGATGGCGATTAAACAACTCACAGCCAGGCGATAAAGTGTATGCTAAACGTCACTAATTACGGATGCTAGGACTTAGTGAGTTTTTGGACCACTGCTCTCTTTTTGGGCCGTAGCATCTTGATTTATTTTGCGAGGAAAGCTCCGTACTTTTGATGGATGCCTGCCATTCCTAATATATTAGAGCGCCTTCAGTTTCGTATGATACTGTGCAATACCTCTGGTGTGAAATAGTTGCTTCTAGCGCCGTGGCACGCTGCAGTGCGGCAGGCAACGCGCAATGGCGCCTACAAACCTAACAGGGATACTTCACGCGTTGCGCAATGCGTGAAGTATCCCTGTTAGGTTTGTAGGCGCCAGTGCGTCGCCGCTCTGCTTTGTGTTAAGCTCTAATATTTAATCTGGCAGAGTCAGCGTTATTCAACTCATGATTTTGAAATGTTAGCACATCCTGTACGGATTATTCTCGTTTTAATTGATGAAAAAAAATATGTATTAAAGGAAAATATCATGTGTGTTTTGTAAATATTAAGGTGGTTCCGTATCAAAAATTAATGATTTCCAAAGCACTTGAATTTCTACACAATTTCCTATAGCCTTTTATAATCGATGGCGAAAAAGCAACAGCCAGGCGATAAAGTGGAAAGCCCGGCGATAGGAACAATAGCCCGGCTGCATAATTTTTTATCGCTTCGTATAGCCCGGCCGTATGATTTTCTCCGCATTCTACAGCAAGCTATATGATTTTCTGTAGCCTTCTTTAGCCGGCTATAAGAATTCCTATGGTATTTTGAAACGCAGCTCTTATCGCCAATTTTTACCAGGGTCGCGCCGCCCTTGTTAATAGACAAAGCTACGGGGAAATGAGTCATGAGGGATTTGAAGGGATCCTAGTGGGGGAAGTGGGTGGTTGTAATGAACGAAGGAGGTAGGTAATAGACCATCTAGCGGCAATCCATAAGTGACCCTATAGTTAGTTCATTATTTTCTCCCTTAGTCTGAAGGAGGCACCTATTTCAACCAATAGGATCGCTTCATGTCGCACTTCCTCCGTCTTTTTTGTCTATTGCTTTGTCTATTAATTTTAATTATTATTCCGCAGGGGTGCGAAAAGTGCCACTCGGCGGAACGTTCCACGTGATCCGCGATTTTCTCCTCGCTCACTTCCAAATAATTTCCTTGTTTTCATAAATTTTTCCAAGGGATAGCCTCTTTTTTTTTGCACTTCTTGCTGAAAATTTGCTTGAATGCCTCTGATTGGGAAATATCGATAAAACGTCTAAACTCATTCTGAAAATGTTCGTCGTTGTCGTTTTGAACAGAAATGTCCTATTAAGAAATCTCATGATGGGACGGATTTTGCATCCCTGGCAGCCACCATAAGTCCTCGTGTCGTCAGTCGAACTGCTTATTTGAAGAAAAGCGCAACTGCCAAGTGTCAAACTTCCAGAAAACATGAGAAAGAACTTGATTTCTCCGAAAAATTTACACTTTTTTTCGGCGAAAAGGAATCTGTATTTTGTGTTTAGTTAATTTTTATAGTTCTGCTTGTTTTGCCTTTCTTCCACAAAAGCGCCACTGCTGTCATTTTTATCAGTAGTGCGACAGTAAAGTTTCTTGCTTGTTTGATCACTATAGTACAATATGTTACTTGGTTTATGGTAAGAGGCTGCACCCAGCGCCGGGGAAAGTTGCTCGGAAATTACGGCATTTTTCCACTGGAAGGAGCTGAGTTTCGCTGATATTATCAGTAAATTCACTACGGGTGCCGCCGAGTAACCTTGAGGGTAGCCGACTTTTGAATGAAGGTATTCAAATGTTGGAAAATAGGCACTTCGTGTCATTAGTCGAACTGCTTACAAGCCTTCGTGTTATCAGTCGAACTGCTTACAAGCCTTCTTGTCATCAGTCGAACTGCTTGGTTGAAGAAAAGTGCAACCGCCAATTGTCGAGTTTTCAAAAAACCTGAATCAAAACTTGATCTCTCCGACAATTTTTCACATTTCTGCTCGGCAAGAAGGAATCAACGTTTTACATAGATGGTCGTAGAAGTTGATGTATTCAAATGTTGGCAAAGAGACATTTCATGTCAGTCGAACTGCTTATCTAAGCCTTCGTGTCATCGACCGAACTGCTTATTCGAAGAAAAGCGCAACCGCCAATTGGACGTATTTCTGTCAGACGGAACTAAGCGCCAATTTGAGTTCCTTTTGAGGAATTTAGAATGCCGGATAGCGCGTTCTATCAAACGGAACAAAGCGCCATCGAAAAGCATTGTGAGTGTAGGACGGAATGAGCTCGACGCCCGGTTCCGCTGCCAATCCGAGCCCCCCTCTACCTTCCTCACCCTATGGCGCTTAGTTCCGTTTGACAAAAATACGTCCAATTGTAAAGTATCCATAAAACATGAATGAAAACTTGATTTCTCCGACAGTTTTTCGCATTTCTGCTCGGCAAAAAGGAAACAATGTTATACATACTTATTGTGATGTCACACGGGGAGGGTCGGAGATATGTGGAAGAATTAGATTTTTTTTTCCAAATTTCGGTGGATATGCCCTTCTTCCAAAATAGCGCTCAACGCTGCCCTTTTTAGCAGTAGTACGACAATAAAATTATGATTGTTTGATGACAGTATTATTTATCATACTTGGTGCTTTAGCGCACTGCCATGGGAGTGGAAATCACGCTTTTCTTCCACTTCAATAAAAAACTCAAATTCTATAAATTTGGCTGCTAAATCCTTCTTCAAAAATGTAACCTGTTTAGTTATGCGCTGTCAGCTCAAGTGAATTTGTCGGTGGTGGATCCAGAGCAAAACCGAAGTGTTTATCCGGAATAATCGACTGGGGGTTTGAGATATCACCTGGATCACACAGATGTTCTGGGGACTTTTCACGAAGAAGACTATAAGTTTACGCCTCGTGTTAGACTTAAAGCTAATTCAGGTCACAAATCCAAAAATCGCCCCTAATTGAAGGCGAGAATCGACGGTTTTTATTTCGTATGAAGAATATTGGTTCCTTTAAAATCATTCACCTAGATGAGTAAAATTAGAGAAATAGCCCTCAAAAGGTATGATTTGTAGGATTTTTCTCATTCGTTCTCAGTATTTCGAGGTGAAAATTTTGCTCCTTCGTTCTCAGTATTTTCAGGTTCATTATCATTCCTCCTTAAACTACTATGAGGAATTTCATTTATTTTGAAGTTTTCCTTGTAAAGTTTCTGTCGTGCCTCGGGCTCTGGGCTATCAAAAATAACCCTCCAGCTAGGTAAACTAGAAAATGAACTCCTTTTCTCGAGCAGAAATCATGCTCATGGATTACCACGCAAAAGCGATCCGAAGACCGACTCTTCGCGCAGGAAATCAATGAGGACGCCAAAAGCTCGGAAAAGCAACTACAAACTGGAAATGGACTCCATGGGAGTACGGGCTAATGAAAAATATGAAAACTGAGATGCAGAAAAATGAACACTTTCTTTAGCGAGGAAAAATATGACACGCACAAGCTCCAATGAAGAAAATAGCACACAGCTACAAAATACAAACCAAGTCATAATACGTAGCATAAATATCCAACCTTCCAAATAATACCTTTTCATGAAAATAAACGTCGCCCAAGGGCAGGCAAAGATGAATTTAGTACACTTTCCAGGAGTAGGTATCATAAGAAGAATATAATTATATAACACGTCCTTATGAATCTTATATATCATATGAAGCAAGTGGCTAAACACATAAAAATTGAAAATACTTATAATGAAGAGGAATACACCCTGAGAGATTCATCACTTGAGGATGAATTTAGCAGCTTCCTAGCAAAAGGTGACATTTGAAGTATATAAATATAAGAACGAAAATTTAGTGAATCGTGAGAAGCATGGAGAATGACTGGCGGCCGTGGCTTTTAAAGTTTTGCGTATCCGCGAGCGGCGGGGTCGCAGGATGCTGGGCTTTGGGGCACATGTCGAGGTCAACTCATCCCCGCAAGGTGGCGTGTGCAAAGAGGAAAAAGGACTGGAATGCCTTGTGACTGGAGATGGCCCGGCTCGTGAGAAAGTGCGATGCGGAGTTTCCACAACTGACAGCTTGTGGCACGACAGTTTCCCATGTTTGTACAATGACTGGCGGTGTGAAAATTTTGTCTCGCAGTACTTATTACACGGAATTCGCTTTTGGCGTTTTGGTTTTGGTCCAGTGCACTGGTTTTTATGAGCCACCAAGGTTTGCCGACGTTTATAAATTTTCTGGCAAACATTACACGTATACTGACCAAATGAGTCCAATACTGTGGTTGTCAGGAAGGGAAGGGTCGACCCCGACCGCAATGCCGACCTCGAATGCCCCATTTATGCTCGGCAAATCGAAAACTGCAGTCATGATGGCCAGTTCGATTTACAAGAAAGCCCAGAGGTCTGGGATAAACACTAAATTCAATAAAATTAAGAATATTCATTCGATTGGGAACAGTTTAAAAGAAAAGATTTTTTATAAGGAATCTGAACTCATTACCAGATCTGGGCACTGAAAGCTTTAGAGAGGGTGAGGAACATTTACTACGTAGCGACTGAGGGACTATCTAAGGAACCAAAACCGACGAGGGAGATTGATCGGATCCAATACTAAATACTGAAAGTTTTATTCATTTTTCATAAAATTCCGTAACGTAGGGATAGAACGTTACTGATTCTTCGACATGGATCATGTTGAAGTCGTTGTGCGTTGTCGCGGGTTTTGTTCTCGATTTGCAGCAATGTTAAAATGCGCGGCCTTTGGAGATATCCTGGAATGACTTGAGAATGTAGGAATGTATAACTTAATGCCCGTGTCAAAATGAAGGCGGAGTGGACACAATCCAATGGAAACTTAATTCAAGAAGTTGGCTGCAAACTTACTTTAAGTCTAATTTTTTCAGCTATTTCCAAGATTCGTGTCATGCTTGAAACCAGGAATCTTGAACCGAGTATACATTATCTTGAATCAAGAAACAACTTCCTAGAATTAGCAGCCATGGTGACTTGATGTAAGACTCAGCAGGTTTTGCTCAAGATTTTTGTGCTGCTTAAATCAAGCTAGCAGGTGATTCAAGCTATAAGGTAGCTGCAATTAAGAATCTCGAATCTTGAATTTAGCAATAATTTGCTTGTTTTAAGATAACAATTCCTTGAATCAAGCTGATTTTTTCTCAAGATTCCGAGACGGCTTGACCGTAGCAGACCTTTTTTTTCCAGTGTAGGCTGCCTTTGATTGGCGGAAGCGTGATTAATGAAATTCTGTTTAGCTAATCGAAAGCACACAACTCAGATAGAACATAACCATCAAAAGTATGAATCAAATGAAAGAACAAGCAATTGTGTTACACCGCAAAGGGTGATCGTAGGATCATTACTCTTCTTAGTATTTATTAATGATTTACCTGCAGCTTTAAGGGAAATTGTCATGTGTTTGTAATAGTAATTTTTGTGGACGACGACGATAATCCCATGATAATGACGTACAATGAAGAATATCACCACGATTCACTCCTCGAGTGACGGAAAATAGAATTTTTTTTTATGTTGCGTAAAAAAAACGGCGCCTAGCTGATACATACTTTAATCAAAGCGGTTTATCAACTTCAATTATCTTTTTCCCCGAAAGAGACTTTGCCTTTCTCTTCGGCATTTGAAAACAGAATGAAAATGATCACCATAACACCATAACTTGGGGCTCCCAGGGTTCTAGAGTGATGAAATTGAGAATCGCGAATCGAGTGTACTACTTAAATGAATTTTTCCTCGTTAACAGTTGAATTCTGCACAAAGGGTGCTTCTTGGATTTGTAACTGTTACTACGAGTTTGTAAATTGATACATACAAATTGAACGGAATACTTTTTTTTTTATTAAATCAATTACAATAATATTTAAACAACCATCAACATTCCATAATCACGATTAGACTTTCTTCAGAGCCCAGAATATATATTTCATAACCTGTATAAAGAACGAATGGACATTTTCCAGTTTTCTAAGGTTAAGAGGGACAGTGGACTTCTTTCAATTAACGTACCATAAGCATGATAACTGGTGGGTCGACTGTTGTGCCACCACCCGGACCTGTACGAAGAAGTGGCGACTCAAGGACGACGCCATGTGCAAAGGCGTTGTACTGTATGTCCGTGCCAAGAAAACAAGGCCCGCGGCGACCTCCCGCCCCTCGCTTGTTCCACCTCCAAAACGCGACGCGCTTCGATGTTTCCAACAATAAATGTCTCCTGAAAACGATCTTCAATGACGCCTTCTTAACCATCCGTCACATTTTCAATTGTCAAGGAATTTAGCCCAAATGTGTCAGGGAAATCAGGGAATTTCATTCTCTAAATTCTGTACAAACCCTGGAGGGAGGGGTGGGGTTGTCGCATGGGGGTTGAAAGAGAGGAAGATTGAGAGAAGAAGACAAAATTGGTGTATTTGTACGCGGTAATGACGGTCGACGCTGTTTTATGCACTCTTCAACTTTTCTATCCGTGCGTTTAAGTCTCCAAAAATATGCATGATCAATAAGTCGATGGTGCTGAAACATTTTAGTGAAGCATGTTTCTTCACTCACATTTTTCGCATTACGGCGTTCACACGGTATTGTTAATACAAAATTTCCTCTTTTTCCTGTTTTTTCTCTGTTCTTTCCTTCCCCTATTTATGTATAAGTTGAGAGATAAAATAATAGTTATCGTGTTTACACCAAATTCGCCGACAGGCCGTCAAACCAGTTTATGAACGACGATACGACTCTTCGACCACGTGGGAGCTCGTCTTGTCTACGTATAAAATTGAAGGCAAACCCATCAGACGTTGAACTAACCTCTTAATGTTCGATATGAAACTATTTCTTGAGTGTATCTCTGGTGCACGTGCCATTTCACGATGATGCCACTATTCAACCACGTGAGAGCCCGGGTTGCCTCAATTGAAATTGAAGGCGAACTGACGTGGCCTTAATTAAATCATTTCCTGTGTGTGGTTTTTCCTTCATTTGTGAATATCTGAGTGATATATTTCGCTGAGAATAACTCCTTATGACGACTTAATTTATTCCTAAAATAGCTGCCTCGTAAGAAACCCAGCTTAATATCTGTAGCTTATGAAAAGTCCCTAGTGGCATGAACTTTAACATTTGGACGTCCGTAAACTTAAGCGCCTTTTTAAAATGTAAGAATTTGAGACCATTTTTATTCCTCTTTCATTGAATATCGTACAGAACACACACAAATATTTACTTTTTAGTTGTAGATAAGTTGCAAACTATTAGAATTTGTCATGAAAGTACTTGTGATGTTTTCGTGATGGATTAAAATAAATTTTAGGTCCAGCACAGAGAACCCTCTGTCTTTTCTCTGTTATTCTGCTTCATCCAAATATTTTGACATTAGCAAACGCTTTGTTGAAAGTTCAAACGGAAACGAATATCAAATCCAATGATACTTCCTTAACTATGACCAAGTACTTGTTCAAAGAAATATATCGTTTTGAATACGTTCGCTCCGTTTCTAAATAGTTCCATCCGTCGTAAGTGTCTCGTCATTTTTAGATTATTTTATTTATGTCAACTAGGTCATAAATTATTGTTTCCCTGATTTATATAATAATTTATATTTATATGAATATATAATTCCAAAATTTCACAATAACGAGGTTTTCCAGCATATTTGCCTTGAAATCAATGACAAATGAAAGCAGTTCCTCACTTCGGCAGCTGGCATTAATGCAAGCCCGAAAAAACGCCTCAGAAACGAACCTTCTTCTGTGCTGAACTTATAAGTTCTTGACACCCCGCATCTTTACCAAGCGTCTTAAGTTCTGTCTGACAGAAATACGTCCAAATGCCAGAACAAAACGTTTAAACCCTAGTAGCATAAGTCGCTATAAGTTGCATTTTGATCAATAAATGTACCGCAATTTTATAGACGTCCATTTAATGCATTATTATCGGATTAAAAATTGCTATTTCATCGCATGAAATTGCAATAAAATTATGATTTTATCGACGGCGATCTATAGCAATACCATCGAACAAAAAATCGTTATCTGTTGAGGTAAGATTTCGATTTTAATGAACACGATTGAAAAATTGCGACAACATTAAGGATAATCGCTCAAATGCCGATGATCCTCGCGATTTAATCGGCGTTAAATCGCAACTTGATTTCAAAATATCTTGATTTTTCCGTTGAAATATGCTGCTTGGGAAATGGTAGTTTCCGGAAAATCTCTCGGTTGTAAGATGCGTCCATCCCGTTAAAAACTCGATTCCTGATTATTTGGCAGTTTCGCTACCTCCACTTCAAATATCCTGGTTTAATATTTGAAAAATTGCGGGATGCTACTTGGGGAAGGGTAATTTCCGGAGAATCTCTCGGTTGTAAGATGTGTCCATCTCGTCAAAAACTTAATTCCTGATTATTTGGCAGTTACCTTAGCTCCACTTCAAATAACCTGGTTTAATATTTGAAAAATTGCCGTTCAATCAATTGAATGCGCAGTATTTATTTTTCTGTTTTCCACATTTGTTTCCGCAGAATGCATGGAGCTCTCCCTGCCGACAACGTATTCCTTCTGGCGCTTCTGCTGTACAACCTTTCCCCATGCCAGGCCAAGAACGAAGAGGACAACCCTGTGAAGAATTTTTTCACAGACATGAACACCGCCATCACGTCCGTCATCGCCTCCAAGTTCAACGTGGCGATGCGGCTCCTCCAACAAGACTTCACGAAATACTTCCGCGCCGTTTTGGCCAGATGGACGCAAGACCTCTCCGTCCGAACAAATGAAGCTCGTTTCGACAACTTGGACAACTTCTCGGACCAGGAGATCCTCGCCCACGCCTACAAAATCGCCAACATGTCGACGCCAAGGACATCCAACAGTTCGAGCACGACTTCTGAACGTCCTTCGGACGCGAAAGAGGCTGAACCGTTAGAGGATGCGGACGAGGAAATCGTGAAGATCTCAAGCGTTGATGAGGAAGAAGACACTTGGGACGCCGACCTGGCAGTCAATGATGGGTCAGAAAACTCTGTAAACGGTGATTTTGATAGTGGAGATGACAGTGCGAACGAATTCGATGAACCTGACGGTGGAGAGCCAGTGATACGAGTAGTAGATAGTGCCATTTCTCTTATCGACTCGGAGAGTAATGCTAAGAATTCAGACACAGAATCGATAATACAGTCAAGAGATCAAGTTGACTCTGACATAATGAATCATTCGAGAGATCAAACAGATTCTGACATTGTGAATCTTGCCTCGCAGCTTGCTCGGCTGAACGGCACCACAAGAGTGTCGCAAGACAGTCTGCTGGATGAGGCGAATGCCATCGTTGATGAAGAACGTTTTAAAACTCTCAATGCTTTTAATGTAACGTCGTCAAATGCTTCAACAGGTACGGATATTCACGTAAATGATACGCACGTGACGCGTCCAGGGTTAGATGTACTCATCTCAAAATCGTTGAAATTACCATTTGAAATTATTAACAACGAAGCTAATAAGAATGTGAGTGATACTACTTTAGATGCCGTTAACGTTACATTCACGAAAGTAACGGCTATTGACGAAAGATATCATAACGTGACGGGCTTTGTTTTAAACGCTCACAGCTCGGCACCTGAAAATACATCACATGAGATTAACATTGAACATAAACATGGAACAAGTGCTCCTCACAGCTCAATAGCTGAAAATATGTTACATGAGATCAACATTGACGGAAAAAGTATGAATATGTCAAACATCACGTTTGATGCCAGTGACTTAACAACGACTAATATATCAACAGGATTAATCATGGACGATAAGCCTAGACATGTTATATCAAGTATTTCTTTGAGTTCCCCAAGTAGCTTGGTGTCAAAGTCTGGCGCAGCTTTAATTAACATAACCTCAATGAAAATCACTCTAACTGGTGATAACTCACCGACCGGCGGGATAATCGCCTCGAATTTCAGTTCAGTGCCGATAGTCAGTGCAACCTTTTCAACCCCAACGACGGAAGTGAACCCTGGTAGGAGTAGTACAAAGCTTGCGAGTGAAAGTAATTTCAACGAAAAGAAGATGCCAGCGCCGTGGCCCAAGGCAACGCCCTCAAATGTAGCATCGAAAGGCAACGGCAGCGAAAGGAGAGGATTTGCAGAGCTGATGATTTTCGATGCCGCCGACCCTGCCTTGGACGAAGAACAGCCTCTCTCGCCTCCTTTTATGAAGAAAGACATAATTATTACGCATACCGTGGACTTGAACGCCCGTCCTCCCGAACCTATAAAGATGACGGCCGAAGAACATAAATTGCTGCGCGTTAAAACGCCAAGCGAGAGCAACAGAAATGGTTTCTTAAATTCTCAAAAAATTGATAATCTCGCGTCGCCGAGTTCGACTTACAGTAAACCTCCATCGAAGCTTAGACAAAAGAGGGAGATCTCGAATTGTCTATCCGGGAGCAACCTTAGACTTCCTCTTCTTTGTGCTTTGAAATCCAAATTCACGGTGTTTATCGACGTTTCGCGGCTGTGTGATAACAATGCTGCAATAGAATCTGGCAGCGCCGATCGCAAGTATTTCCCGAAATACGCTGATCAACATCCTAAAGGAAGTGTTGGCAGACATTCCGCACCAAATTCAGTTGCACGGTTGTTTAATAACCACTCTGCACGATTCTCTCGTTACGCTGAGAATTTCATTCACGACAGGCTGAAGTATACGCAGTACCGTAAAATGTTGGGGAAAAGGCCGCGCCAAAAACGTGCTGCCGTCTACTTGAATCGCAAGGAAGCTGCAAGCAACGAAGCGTATTTTCCAATTTGGATCGGACACCGATTCAGCACCTCTATTACAAGCTTCCCTCACCACAATCGGTCAATATCCCCCGATGAGCCGGATTTCTTACGTCATTCAAAATTACCTCACTACAAACAGCCCCTATCTCCCGATAAGCTGAAGTTCTCACGTTCCCATGCAAGATTCCCTCCCTACACACAGTCTATGTCTCTCGATAAGCCGGAGTTCTCAAGTCACCATTCAAGATTCCCTCACTCCAAACAGTCGGTATATCCCGATAAGCCGGATTTCTCACGTCACCATTCAAGATTCCCTCACTCAAAACAGTCGGTATATCCCGATAAGCTGGAGTTCCCTCGTCACCATCCCAGATCAAAGAAGCGGCAGCGTGTAAAACGGGCAGCCTTCGACGCCTTGATGAGCATGATCGCCAATAAGTGGGCCAAATCGAACAACGATGAGGCCGAGGAAACGTTACATACCGATCATTCGGATCCCGAGCTCGACTCTCAAGAATCAGTCGAACAATCGTCCCGAATGGGACCACCGGTGGAATATTCATCCTCACACCTTCCGAAAGAACCCCGCATTTTCGATCCAGAGCCTAACTCGCACTCGCGTGAAGCTTTCAACTTCGTCAAGCAAGGCACAAGATTTCGAGCGAACGAAGTAGAGCATCCGTTTCTGAGTCTCTTGAGACAATATTCCCAAGGGACCTCCAAGTCGAGTCACTTTGACGTGATAGCGCACGAGCTGCATAGTAAGATATCCGAGCTGTGCGCGTCGTTTCACGCCGCCTGGTTGCATACCCTCACGGCGACAACGGAAAGCGCGAAGCCGTCCGCCGCTACAACGGAGAAGTCAGTGCTCACGAGCGTTGGGAAACCTCGCCCTTCGCAGCTGACGGATCGTAGGCCGAAACGTAGTTATGCTGATGAAAGAACCGTAAAAAGTTCCGACGATCAGATAACCTATGAAAGTAACACTCGGCCCGGAGGATCACCTTCTTATCGTAAACCTCAAATAAAAATAAAATCCAAAAATGACAGAAGAAAACGCGCATATCCCGAGTATCTTCCGTTATCAGCAGGAGGGAAGGAAAGCACCAAGTCCAAGACCGGCGTCTCGATTTCCCCGACGAGGAAACACATAATGCGGCTGGAGCGTAAATCAGGACCTGCTCTCGATGCATCGTCCCCTTCGAAGCCGCAGAATCTCATTAAGTCGATCGAAAACTTTAAAAAACTGGCGAAACTCGATCTGGAGCAATTAGAGAATATCGATCTTGAGGATGGTTTCGCTATAGATGAGCTGGACGCGGACGCGCTGGTCAGCCCCTCGCCGTCGGATCCAACTGAAGATCTCGTCGAAATCCACGCGCTGTCCTCGAACACTGAAGCAACGCCTTCGACTCGAGGTAACGCTAAGAGTACTAACGTTAATAGTAGTAACGTGAAGAGCACTAACGTGAAGAGGCCCAACGCGAAGAGTACTATCGCGAAGAGTACTATCGCGAAGAGTACTGACGTTAAGAGTCCTGACGTTAAGACTACTAACGTGAAGAGTACTGACGTTAAGAGTACTAACGTGAAAAGTATTGACTCGAAGAGTAATGACGTGATCAGTACTAACTTGGAGATTCATAACGTAACTTTAAGAACGTATTCGCAGTCATCTAAAGACTCCTATTCGAGAATTAACAGAACCACCGAAAACCTCGCGGAAGAATCCGGAATCTGTCAACCTTGCCAATCCACTCCACTTCCTTCAGAGGTGAAGATGGGGGTTTCGGATGAGGACTTAGCGTTAACTTCAACATCTCTGAATGAAGGACTTGAGCAAGGGCTCGAGGAATCCTACCCTACGTTCCCGACGCCACCGCATTCGTTCGATAATGTATCAAGTTCAACACTGCAAAATGAATTGGAGTCGGCAGTTAAGGGAGTGAAACCAACTGATAGTACTGTATCTAGCAACGGAAGGGAAGCGTCTGTAGAGTTTTACCCTCCTCGCTTGACTGTAACAGACGAAGTTGAATCGGACAAGGTGATAAATTATCCGAACCCGTCTGAAAGTTCTGATGAAATGGAGGAAGCCACTGAAAGCAAGAGGAAGGTACCATTGTCTCAGGTTGATTCTTACGATTCGCGCGCTGGTATTCATAGTAACGGAACTGATGATACCGAATTAGTGGAAGAAATTGATGTATTTAAAACTGTCAATACTCAGGGGTTATCGGAGTTTCCTGTTGATGAAACACTGCCTACTTTTCCGGTTCAAAGTACCCGTGAGCCAAAGGAATCCCCCGATGATGAGCCTTTCACCACGTTTCCAGGTAAAATCAACGAGGGACCACCAGATAACCAGGAGGCAACTGGATCTCCTCATTTTAAGACACCGTCTCCTGTACTGATTTCGCCCGTAAATTCCGTAAGGAAATCGGAGGCAGAGCGAATAGTGTCCCCCGCATTCAGATTGATTTCTAGCGGTTCCCCGGTCGAACCCTTCAACACTGATGTCATAACCGAGCCTCCGGTGATTCTAAGTAATGCCAGAAGTAGTGATATCGCAGAGGATGATATCTCCTGGAGGTCTATTGGGGTCCGTGAGCCTGATATCTCAGAGGACGCGATCGGGGCCTTCCCGACACCCCCCTCTGATCTTGTAGAGGATGATATCTCCCGGAAGTCTACAGGGGTCCGTGGACCTGATATTTCTGAGGACAAGATCGGGGTCTTCCCAACACCCCCTTCTCTTCCAGACGCAGCACAGAGACCATTCATCCATGCGAGTGATCAAGACACCAACACGCAAATAAATGAATCCAATAGACTGACGCTGAAAAAGTATTATCAGACGTATCCCGCCGATAAATTAAAATCCGCGGAGGTTAGCGAACGAATGTTCTACACGCGGAATCCTCCGACGTGGAGAGGTCACGACCCCTCCACGGTGTATCCGACCCCCGAAATAATACCCCCTTTCACTCAACGACCGATCTCGAAGTCTGTGCCCACGGTAGTGTCATCAACCATTCAGGATGCAACTGGAGATCTCAGACGTATTCTTTGGCAACCCTCTTTATTTGAAGATGTCCGCAATGACGTGAATCATCGCCGCACGCGATTCTACAATCGGAGCAATCGACCACAATCCCGGCTCTACGTCAAGGAAGATACGATTTCGAAAGAAGGTGCTACGGATTCGGAAGGTGTGGTCATCGGAGGGTCGTCCATCGAGGCAGCGAAGCCGGAGATCGAAGAATTCGTCCGGCTTAGTACGAGGTCGAAGAAAAGGAAACGTTTACCCAAGGTGAGGACGACATCAGAGGTCAGTTTTTATTGATAGAAATTCGTAAATTTATCGATTATTTGTGATCTTTGTTATTTGTTATAAATCTACGTTTATGATGTTCTCAAAATATATTCTAGGGGTGCCCTGGTAAAAATTGGCAGTAGAATCTGTGTTCCAAAATACCGTAGACCTACAGCCGGCTGTAAGATCTCCAATAGCTTCTATAGCCGGCTGCACAATTTCTTATAGCCTTTTATAGCCGATGGCGATTACGCAACTCACAGCCAGGCAATAAAGTGTATGCTAAACGTCACTAATTACGGATGCTAGGAATTAGTGAGTTTTTGGACCACTGCTCTCTTTTTGGGCCGTAGCATCTTGATTTATTTTGCGAGGAAAGCTCCGTACTTTTGATGGATGCCGGCCATTCCCAATATATTAGAGCGCCTTCAGTTTCGTATGATACTGTGCAATACCTCTGGTGTGAAATAGTTGCATTGGCGCCTACAAACCTAACAGGGATACTTCACGCGTTGCGCAATGCGTAAAGTATCCCGTTAGGTTTGTAGGCGCCAGTGCGTCGCCGCTCCGCTTTGTGTTAGGCTCTAATATTTAATCGGGCGGAGTCAGCGTTATTCAACTCATGATTTTGAAATGTTTGCACATCCTGTACGGATTATTCTCGTTTTAATTGATGAAAAAAAATATGTATTAAAGGAAAATATCATGTGTGTTTTGTAAATATTAAGGTGGTTCCGTATCAAAAATTAATGATTTCCAAAGCACTTGAATTTCTACACAATTTCCTATAGCCTTTTATAATCGATGGCGAAAAAGCAACAGCCAGGTGATAAAGTGTAAAGCCCGGCCGCATAATTTTTTATCGCTTCGTATAGCCCGGCCGTATGATTTTCTCCGCATTCTACAGCCAGGTATGTGTCTGATTTTCGGTAGCCTTCTTTAGCCGGTTATAAGAATGCCTATGGTATTTTGAAACGCAGCTCTTATCGCCAATTTTTACGAGGGTGCGCAGGTAGTTCCTCGGCCTACGCAGTTTTGCGTAACCACGGAGCTACACTGGAAAAAAAACACACTGGATCTAGAGTCCAGACTCTTAAAAACATCGACAAGAAAAAATACTCTCGATTGAATCAGATTTAAGCATACATCAAGAACCAAACCTCCTAATTTGAGCGGATTTCCCTCTGATTTAAGCTTAAATCTGATTGAATCTAGAGTCCGTTTTCTTGTCAATGTTTTCAAGAGTGTGGACTCAAGATTCAATGTGTTTTTTATTTCCAGTGTACGCAGTATGATGTTGCGCGTTCGCAGTAATTGTCACCAAAGACTAGCATGCTCGTCACTGAGAAAAAGCTATGGTTTATAAACCTATTAGTGGTAAATATGGAACACCTATAATAGTCGTAAATAAACTAATGATTCTCGGTCTGTGAACCATACTAAGGTCTCTGTACCTAAGTAAGGTACAGAGACCATAACTAAGGTATATGTGCTATTATTATATGTAGAGGTACTACTATTAGTGGTGTTCCATATTTACCTCTAATAGGTTTATAAGCCATAGTTTTTTCTCAGTGTGGTAGTAATCGTCTATACAGGGTGATCCAAAAGTCCCTTCCACCCCCTCTAACTTTTTACCTAATTAAGATAAAGATTTGAAACTTGGGGAATATTCCTAGGTCAACGGGAGCTACTTTTTGGCCCCCCTAAAATTTTGAGGGGGGCCCCCCTTGGGAAGGCAACGGCCCCCAACTTTTAATTTTCAAACGGGAAGACCCCCTTTGTGATAGCTCGTTCGAAAGAGCATAAAAAAAGAAAACTTTTCGCGCAAACCCGAAATCAATATCTCAAACCGTTTGAAAATGGCCGAAAATTCACACCGGTTATTCGTCGATGGATTTGCGCGAAAATCGGTGTGTCGGGGTATTTTGACACGAGAAAAACGAATTTGACGTTAGATTTTCAAAAAAATCAAAATTTCCAAAATGGCCGCCGGTTGAAGTTTAAAATGGCCGAAAATTGTCACCTCGTTTTTTCCTGATGGATTTGCCTAAAACATGGAATTTGAGAGTATTTTGGCATAAGATAAACAAATTTGAACTTAGATTTCTAAAAAAATCAATTTTTGGTCATTTTGAACTTTAACCGGCGCCCATTTTGGAAATTTCGGTTTTTTTGAAAATCTAACGTCAAATTCGTTTTTCTCGTGTCAAAATACCCTCACGTACCGATTTTCGCGCAAATCCATCGACGAATAACCGGTGTGAATTTTCGGCCATTTTGAACTTTAACCGGCCGCCATTTTGAAACGGTTTGAGATATTGATTTCGGGTTTGCGCGGAAAGTTTTTTTTTTTATGCTCTTTCGAACGAGCTATCACAAAGGGGGTCTTCCCATTTGAAAATTAAAAGTTGGGGGGCCCCCCTGAAAATTTTAGGGGGGCCAAAAAGTAGCTCCCGTTGACCTAGGAATATCCCTCAAGTTTCAAATTTTTATCTCAATTAGGTAAAAAGTTAGAGGGGGTGGAAGGGACTTTTGGATCACCCTGTATGTCGGAGGCAATTCGCAATCACTGCAATTCGCGATCGGCTCGCAAATTACGTAGGCCTAGGCAATAAGCAAACCGCCTAGGCAATTTGAAAGCCGCTAGCGATGAACAAATTTAGTGAAAAAAATCTGAGAATTTACCTCAATTTGACGTCTGGCGGTGTGCACGATGGAACAGGTACGACGACTGCGTGATAATGTACAGCAAGAACGGCACAGGAGACAAGGTGGCATCACATAATTACTTCATCGCACTTTCATTTATTTCTTTATTTTTAGCAAAACTCACTGAATTTTTTTAAAAATCGCGTCAAAAATTAAAATACCTTCTTAGAAACTACGGTGACTTCAATTAACTACTTGTTCTTGCAGGACGAAGAGGAATGGCCGCGGCTATTGCACTTGAGATTAGCTTTGAAGCAGGAACAACGCTTCGTTACATTTTTCAAAGCCCTGGCTTTCGAAGAGGGAGTGGTGGGCAACTGATTCTCTAACTGAAACATTTTTTTTTTTTAAATCATTTAAACCGCACGTGTCTAACTCATTTGTGGGGACCTCTTGTGGTTCCGTGATAACCAATTTTTTAGCACACCTGCTGCCGTTGCAACATCGTACTTTCTGTTCTTAACTTCTATGACTATTCCAGGGAGGTTAGAGTCATCTAAAGGCCCCCGGTCAAATTGCGAAACGCTTACAATGACGTAAGTGCCAACTTTTAGTGGGCCGTGGAGGGGGCATCTGCTTCTTCCCCTGGCAATTAATGCACAGTTTGACAAACTCCTGAATCGCAACTCTAGTTATCTGAAATTATTTATAAAATCTATCGGTAAATGCTCAGATTTTCTTCTTTAAATTTGTTCATCACTAGCGGCTTGCAAATTGCCCAGGCGGTTTGCATATTGCCTAGGCAATTCGCCGGAGATTGTGAATTGCCTGCGACATATATTCAACGCGGTCGCATTTATGTCCATAATATTCAAAACTGTCGGAGCATATTTCTCTAAAATTTAACACTCTTGCAGTAATTTTTCAAAAATTTAACACTCATGCAGTAAGTTTTACAAAATTTGTTGCCTACTCGGTAGTTTTCTCCTAATTTCAACGCATTTGAATTGATTTTTAGATAATGTCACCATCCTCATCATAAGTATTTGTAAAAATCATTGCGTTCAGTGTTTTTAAATCAAAGTGATTTTTTATTCGTGTAACCGAACTTCTTTCATGAGTTATTTTAATCTCATATGGTAGGTCTTACGAATCGAACGTTCTGTCACACGAACTGAAAGTTGGGTTTGACGAACCGAGTAGTTGGGATGAGCGAGAACACCATTTTCTCCTTTATTTTGCGGATATGGCATTACATGTCATTGGAAGTCAAGATATATGTTCCACAACTTTCTCAACCTTGCGTTGAAGTCTCCAAGTTAGCCGATTAGAGTTGACGCTCTCCCCCATTTTGTGGATATACAACTTTACCCACTTTGAAGCATACATAGTTGTATCACGCGTTTCACCACGTCCAACCTCTATATTCTTGCTATGAAATCTTCGGGTCAGCGGAAAAGGGACGGAGCTGGTTTTCATTCGAGGCCTATATCCGAGATAGTTATATGTATTGCTTCATATTGTGCCGCGCTAAGTAGAAAAGAACTAAGCTACATCAGCTTCTGTCAAATTTAAATGAGCTTTTTAATATTTTACAGGAAAATGGTTGAGGGAATTTTTGTAGCACATTTCAGTGAATTTTCTGCCTATTGGAAAGCAAATCCCCTAAAATTTTAAACACAAATCCGCCCAAAATTTATCGAGAAGTTAAATTGCTTGGTCAAATTTAGCTAAAGCTGATGTGGCTTGGTTTCTTTCTGCTAAACGCTGTCCAAGTGTGACAAACTTTGTGAAAAAGGAACCTTTTTTCCCGGATGAAAATTTCCGGAACGTTGAACTCCGCGTTAAAAAACGATGGCGTTAAGCGTCCGCAAAACTGGAGGAATACTTCAAGCATCTCCCCAAGCCCGCCGCACAATGGTCAAGTCAGTCGGGGTTGTCGGGAAAAAGTTGGAAACTTTAAGGGCTTTAAACTCCCTTCACACAGAATTTTGAGGTTCTAAAAGTGGTTCCATTGGTTTCCTCGTGAGCTTATCTTCTTGTAGCAGTATTTAAATTTTGAAATGTGACGGAATAAATATCAACATTTGCAGTTTTAGTCAAAAATTGTATGTCCAACCTTTCTGATTGATTCGACTTACATTGTGCACCGGCCGGGGATTTTGATCTCCAGACCCGCTTTCGACTCTTGACTCGCGAATCTCGGTAAGTTCCGACGCTATTTGGACGTATTTTTATATCAAACGTAAATTAGTGCATTATGACGTTATGCAGATATTCTGATGGGTATCGGGGCACACATCTTAATACACATTTGGAAATGCGTAGGGCAGCGCGGTACACAGAAGAGGAGTGCATTTTGATCAAATCGTTATAAATTTTATATCATCCATTTTTAAATGTGGTAGACTATACGCAATTTTCCCACTGCCTCCGCAGGTCGCGAACGACGAGACCGACCGGTCGTTTGGCTAGTGAAGATTCTGCATCCCTGTATACTATTCTTAGAAGATTATTTGAAT